TGGGGATCCTGTCTTTAAAAAGGATGCCTACAATGTTCTCAACTAGCGCCACCTGGTGGGCATTCATGTAGCAACGCATGAGAAGAAACTGCTGAGCATGTGTACCAACAGCAGCAGGCTCTTCTTGCAGGCCGTTCCCCAGCAGCCTTCTCAGTAATTCAGCCCACTTGCAATCTGAGATGGTTTCGTTATTGAACTTGGGGAATACACCCTGTGCTCCTAGCCAGGTTTGTGAGTCTGAGGTCAGGTGAACTCTGCTCTAATTAAAGCTGAGTTTGTAATTTGGTATTAAAGCTCATAGGCCCTAGGAGGTCACCTGCAGAGAGGCTGTATGATCATAAAGGATTTGCCATCTCCCATAGGAAAGTCAGCAGGGACCTTGAGCGGTGGGAACAGTCAACAGGGAGTTTGTGAAAGGAGCTCAGGACCAAGAATGTACTTGTTACTTAAACAACAACAGCACAATTGTTCAGTTCCTTTTCTAACACTACCAGGGACCTGATCAACAACTTGAGATTGCTGAGCCATTGTTTGAGACTGAAACATAAACACAAGCATAAACCCCCTATTTCCTTGTAGCTGCAAAAACCCACACCTGAAGTGCAGGCAAGCTATGTAAGTATAGATATTCTAAAACAGAATAATGTTCCCCTTCCAGACATGGAGACAAAGGACAGCTCTAATTTTAGTCACTCTCTACACCGAATGAATAGGCTTGTCTAAGGGCCCCCCCCCAGCTCAACATACAATAAGTAGCCTTTACTCGGGGTGTAGGGAACATGATACTGACAATGAGTAACCAAACTCCACAGCTAGAGAAATCCTCCAACAGGATCCTCTGGTCCTTTTCTCTCATAAATGAGTCTGTGAAATTACCTACCTTTGATCCAATTTAGCTGTCTCCTTCCTTTCCAGGCCCAGTTCATTGAACACCATTCAAAAAACTACTGCCAGGCACCAGAACACCGATCTGCAACATTAAGCACTCTTTCCCAGGGTGTCCCTGGTGAGCTTCGGCTCTGCATTGCATGGCAGGCATTAAGATCTGGCTACACTTGAGGCTGTCCAAGTGTGGAGACTCTTTTTTTATTTTTTTCTTTTAACTCAGGACCTCACGTACCTCAGGTGGTCTTGAATTGTGATCCGCCTACCTCCACCTCCCAAGTGCTGGGGTTACAGGTGTGTACCACATGGAAGCTGTATAGTACATTTTCAAGATCAATATTAAAAAACAAAACTGAGGTTCTGCTCAGCTGGCTGAGTGCTTGTCACACAAGATGAGGACCAGAGTTTAGACCCCTAGTATCCACATACAAGGAAGTCTCGGTGGGGCACAGCTGTGCTCCCAGTGCTGGGAGGGGGAGGCAGGAGGGACCCTGGGGTTCCTAGTTATACATAAATCATTCCAAAAGAGAACGAACACTGCTGGGCAGGGAGGCAAAGCCAGGTAGGTCTCTGAATTTGAGGCCAGCCTGCCTGGTCTACAGAGTTCTAAGACTACCAGGGCTACAGAGAAACCCTGCTTCAAAGAAAAAAAGAAAGCACACACAAATCAGAAAAGCAGGTTTTATCCAAGTTACACTGTTCTTTACACTTCTACTCAGGCGCAAACGAGGTTTTGGGTTTTAAGGATTTAATTTTGTGTGCATTGGTTTTTGCCAATTGCTTTGTGTGCACTGGTATGTCTGCCTGTGTGAGGGTGCCAGATCCCTTGGAACTGGAGTCACAAACTCTGGAAAGAGTAGCCAGTGCTCTTAACCACTGAGTCATCTCTCCAACCCCGTGTTTGTTTTAAATTAACTTTTGTGGTGATTTGAGTGAGAACGGTGCTCACAGGCTTACATTTGAATGTTTGGGCGGCAGCTGGTGGAAGTGTGGGAAGGATTAGGCGTGGTCTTGTTGGAGGCGTGTCACTGGGGCTGGGCTTTCCTTTATTCTCTTGGTTAAGTCTCTCCACTCTACCTCATGTGGTGTCAACATGTAAACTCTCAGGAACTGGCCCAGCATCAGGCCTGCCTCTGCCATGCCACAATGGTCGCAGACTCCCCTTCTGAAACCTTAAGCAAACCACCAGTTAAATGCGCTCTTTGAGTTGGCCCTGGTCATGCGTCTCTTCACAACATATAAGTAACTAAGATGACTTTGCAGGATGTTTAATCAATGTTTAAAAACACTTGGCTCATAGTAATGTTTCATAACAGATCTGTTTTCTGATTTGCCATACAAAGTAGTAGCATTATAGATCAAGAGGCCCAATGTAAATTTAGAGTTTCATCTTAAGACGATTCAGGTGTGGTAGACCACAATTTGTCCCAGTTGGTTTGTCCATTTCACAGACCTAGACCTATCTGAGAAGAGAATCTTAATGCCTCTGTGGTGGTTTGAATAAACTGGCCCCATTGGTTCATATATTTGAATGCTTGGTTCCCAGTTGGTCAACTGTTGGGAAGGGCCAGGAGATGTGGCTTTGTTGGAGATGGGTGGACCTTGAGGTTTCAAGAGCCCAGGCCAGGCTGCATCTCTACCCAATGTCTGCATACCTACCTGTGTGCCACTGTAACGGACTAACCCTCTGAAACTGTAAGCAAGCTCCCAATTAGATCCTTTCAGTTACCTTGCTCAGAGTGTCTCTTCACAGCAATAACTAAGGCAGCCTTAATATGAGTGCCCGGTAGACAAGTCTGTGGGACATTTTCCTGACTAATGACTGATGTTGGAAGGCCCAGCCTACTGGGGACAGTGCCACTCAGAGCAGGTGGCCCTGGGTTGCAGAGCAAGCTATGAAAAACAAACAGTAAGCAGTTTTCCTCTATGGTCCCTGCTCAGTTCTTGCCTTCAGGTTTCTACGCTGACATTCTGACCCCTGACACACTAGGGACCTAAGTTCCAACTCAAGGAAATGGGAACATGCTATTAAAATGTAGTCTGAGAAGACATTCTGTACATGAAAGCACTCTGACCTGTGGTGGTACACTAAGGACAGACAGAGGGAAATGGTCCAGGGTGTGATAAGCACATGTATGGAAGTCAGAGGAAAATTGTGTGATTTAGTTTTCTCCTACCTTGTGGGTTCTAGAGACCCAACTCCAGGAACTGTCAGGCTTGGCAGCACATACCCATACTACTCAGCTATCTCACCCACCAGCTTGGATATACAACTCTCAAAAATCTTGTTTAAAGCTTCTATGTGGATTTTTGAGTTCCTCATAATTCTGCAGTTTTACACAATGTCCAGGTCTGACCCTGCCCACAGACAATGAAACCTCGTCACAGACATTCTAGTACTATGGACATTCAGGTTAAAATCAGGACATGAAGTTCTCTGCATGACAATTGTAACATCCATTTATTTTTTTTTTCCTATTTCAGTTGTATTTGTTAACTTCCCAGTTTAACTCACATTCTTTTCTGACATATAGCCATATGAATTTGAGGTCACTTTTCAGAAAATGCACTAAAATTACTTATGCTTGCCTGTTAACTTTTTAAAATACTGATGAAAGAACACTACAAACATACCACTAGAGAGTCAAAATAGGAACAAAGCTCAAAAACACCAGACAAAAACCAAGGAAGAGTAAAAATGCTCATTTTATCAATCTATTGCTCCCATCTCCACTGTATAGCCCAAGATGGCCTGCTGGAATTGCAGGCCTGCATTATCACATCCAGCTTCTCCTTTTTCAAATATTTGAATGCCCTCAGTGTCTGAGTTTAAACTCTTCCAATGTTAAATGGAAGGCTGATATGGATGGAGTTATTGTCACAAGAGTCTAGGACAGAGGTATAAGGCAGGCAAATGTTACCTCTGGGAGCTGCCCATGCACACACTCTGTTAGACCAGACTACTCAGGCTGGCTTGGCTCAGAGGCTGATCTGGACCTTGTAGGTCATTCTTACTTTATTGGGTTCTATTTTGTTCCATATTTGCTTGTTCCACTATTTTGTAATTAGGACAAAGGTGAGAGGTTCAATTAGTCTAAGAATGCTTAGTCACACCTCAAATTGTCTTAAATATTTTTATCCTTCTGAACATATACCTAATTTCCACCTACAGTTATTTTAAAGATATACAGTAGTAAATCAACTAAAAAGACAGGTGGGCATGGGTCTAAGGACTGCCACCACCCCTGGGCATGGCTCTGGTGAGTGAGTTGCTAAATGGTGGTGGGCAGGACCATCTAGTGAGTCTTCTCCAGGAAGGCCTTGCAGCACCTGAGGCATTGTTGGTACACCACTTCGAAGTCAGAATCATTGCCATAATAGGGATCTTCAGTAATGAGTTGTTTCTGAGGATCACAGCTTCCAAATAACTCAATTTTAGCTTTTCGGTTTTTAACTTGATTACTTCTTCTATTCAAATCTCTCAGATTGCTTTCATCCATACACAGTATATAATCAAATGTGGCAAAGTCTTTTGTAATCTGCCGTGCAACGTGATTCATGGGGGTGCCATGTTTTCTCATGCAGCTCTGCCCACGATAGTCAGGGGGGGTTCCCCACTTCATAGGTGGATGTAGCCGCACTGTCTATCCTCCAATTTTCATCAGTTACCAATTTTCTGAAAACTGCTTCTGCAATGGGTGACCGGCAAATGTTACCGAGACACACGAACAACACTGACTTGGACCCAACCTCTGCCATCTTTCGGTACAGACGCTGGCCAACATCCATTTATTCTTGAGTCCCCACCCCAGCTCATCAAAATAGAGCTTATACTATGTCTTTATGAAGAAAATTTTATATTTATTTTATGTGTATGGGGTGTTTTTGTCTGCCTCTAACTTGCACCGTGTGCCTGCCTGGTCCCCAAGGAGGCCAGACTGTATCAGAGCCCCTGGAACCAGACCTACAGATACTTGAGCTGTCATATGGGTACTGGGAACCCAACGTGGGTCTTCTGCAAGAGTAGTCAGTCCTCTTAACAAGTGAGTGATCTCTCCAGGCCCTGAAAAATATTCTTATCAGAGACCTTTAAAACAAAATCACAAAACAGCTCCTTTTATTTTCTAATAAGACTAAATTTATTCAATACCCTAGAGTAAAAGTTTTGATTATAAGTATCCAACAGTATAAAAAGTACAAAACAGATCTGTAGATTTCTAATATATTAATACAAAGTGCATGACTACATACAGTACATCCTACAGGCAGAGTGGAGGGGAGAAGACTGTGGCTGAGGTCTAGTAATAAATAAATAAATACAGAAGTAGAGATGATCCATCAAAGTATATTCTACCACCAATACTGCAGCCAAATGTACACAAAAAAAAAAAAATCCCATGTCAAAGTAACGCAGGAGAATGGTAATGGCTGGACTCTGTACTATGTCAAGGGCCGTGGAGAACCAACCCACGTGCATGTGGTGGCTTGTACTAGGTAGGTTTTCCAAAAAGGAAAGAGACACACAATGTAAAACTATAAAACTATAAGATGCCACAAACTGTGGCCCTCCTTGTTGTGAAACACAACAGACTTTAATAAAACTCCAGTTTTTAAAATAATTATGAGTGACAGAATACTAAGGCAGCCATATACCTCTCCCTCTGAGAGAGGTCTGAAATGGCACTATTGTTTTTCCTGAATTTTGAGAAGAGGAAATCAGACTTCAGTAGGGCTCAAGTGAGAAGCCCTTGCTGAGATCTCCATGTGAGGAGCTCCATTCAGCTATCTTGATGTTCAGGACCCCAACTCTAAGAAGCCAACCTCAACACACAACTCTTTTCTTCTAATCAACTTTAAATAGTGGGAGAAAAATAAAACAACAAAACCCCAAACCCTAATAAAGTTATGACAAGGCAAAGAGCTACTCTATAGATAAAACCTCCACAAAGGTCAACTGAGGTAATCCAGAGCTAGAACTGAATCATGTGGATTTCAGTGAATCCCAGACAGTTGTGTAACACCAATGTCAATTATTTACACACTGCAAGCCCTCTAAGAAATGTGCCCCAAGCAGCATCAACTGTGCCCCATGCATCCCCAGGACTTACACATTCTGTTTAAGTAGTTTCTAACCACCTGTTCCCTACCGTGTGGTGATGCTTTGGTACTATCCCTATAGGACCCTGCCCATCCTACAGGCTTGCCTTCCCCAGAAAGAGCTCTGGTTCTGTTTGTTAAGGTTCACATAAAGTCTTTTATCAAATATTATGATGAAGGGAGGCGACAGGTACTACCTGTGTTCAGAAATTACTTCCTCCTTCAAGCTATTTGCAGAAAGCTCATTCTGTCCTGCTTAATAATCAGTAGTACAGGTCTGATTCATCAGAACCTTGGCAACACCTTAGCATTTAAAAATGTTTAACTACCTCTAGGGGCAGGTCATGCTGAGTTTTGACAAATTATCATGAGGGAAAACAAGTGTAGCCAGCCATTTTAAAATGCCCCAACCACTGCCTCTCCACAGAAAGACTAAACTACGTATGGTTTATCACACAACAAATCCCATCTGTCCCCTGAAATCCCCTAATTTTGTTCATTAAAGGGGATTTAAAAAAAAAAAAAGACTTAAAGAGCACTTTACAGCAGCATTCAGCTTTCCTATGAAATACTCAGCATCTTAAATATTATGTACACTTTTTTCTTGTAGTAAGCTAGAAACTGGCTTCAGAGTTTGTTGGATGGGGGACGGGTAACCCATTAAAAACTATTCTAGAAAATGTCTTTTGGCAGAATAGCAGGTATCCAAGTTAAAAATAGGAGGGTCAGTTTGTTGCTTTGTGGTCTTTTCAAAGTTTAAATCACTCTTTGTTCCCTTCTACATGAACCTCAGTCACCACTCCTGAGTGGAGATGGGCAGAGGCGCCGGGCCCTGCTCCTCAGGTTTCTCAGCAGCTGCTTTCTTGCTGCTGCAGCAAGGCTTGAAGAGATGTGTGTCGATGAGGACTTCCCCAAAACGGCCCTTATAGATGATACCACAACATATTTTCTGTCTAAAATAAAGGAGAACAAGATATATTACAAGTGTGCATTTTCAGAACTCAAGTTGTTCAGTTTGGCTGTCGCCACCTTTACCTTCCAAGCCATCCTTCCAGTCCCACAGCTTCTACTCTCTTGAAACACATTTTGGTCCGATCTTTTTAGTAAATCCTACTCTTCTGATTTTCTGCCTATTTCCTTTTGATTCCCTTTATTTCTACACTTACCTTTAGGATTTATGTACTTTATTGATCTTAGATACTCAGATTATTTATGAAAAAACAATCCTGCTTAATCTACCTCTATATCCTAAAAGCAATAGTCATTTACCCATACACCTTGATGTGGAACTTGTGTGTGCGCATGTGCACATGCAAATGTGTAGAAACTTGAGTTTAACATGGGGCGTCTTCCTCAATTGCCCCTCACCTGGAGCTCACCAATCTGGCTAGACTAGCTGGCTAGCAAAACCCTGGGATCCTATCTCTGCCTCCCCAGTGCTGAGATCAAAAATCAACCTCAAGCTCACACAGTTATGTTCCTTTGTATGTTCCAATCTGTATTATATGTTCACTTCCATTTATATGGGTTGGTTTCTATTACTTTGTTTTGCTGTATGTAATTTTCCTGTCTCTTATCTTGTATAGAATATACTTTACCTTGTTAGATTCTTTGATTATCCATCTTTGAAATGCTAATGTTATCACTATGATCACTAATTAATTTGGGTTCTACTATTCCTTTCTGTTCAGGGAAGAGCTAGGTATAGACTGAACCTAGGTCCTTACACATACTAATTAAAACCTATATGCCCAGCCCTATTCTACCATATTACTTCACTTTTTCTGTTCTACTCTTCCTACTTTACTATCTTTTATATGGGATAATAATGTGAAATAATCCATCTATACACTGTGAATATGTATCATTCATTGGTTAATAAAAAGCTGACAGGCTGGTAGCCAGGCAGGAATGCCAAACTGAGAATGATGGGAAGGAAGGCAGAGTCAGAAGGAGATGTCACCCAGCCACCAAGCAAGCAGGATGTATAGAAAATGAGATAATAAGCCGTGAGCCATGTGGCAAAGCATATATTTAAATATAAATAAATAATATATATTATATGTTAACAAGTGTAATAATTAGCTACAACAAGCCTGAGCTATCAGCCAAGTATTTATGATTCATATTCAGCCTCTGAGTAGGTTATTTGGGACCAAGAAGTCAGGACAGGAAAATTCTGATTACAGGTTAACTTATACTAATTCAACACTGTCTGTTGGCTTTAGTCACTTCATAGAATTCTAGCTACTCAGTATATTTAGTATCAGCAAGGCAAGGACACTTTAAATCCACCATCATCTTTACTACCACAGACTCAACAAGTAATAACCCTCTCCCTCTATTTTATTATTTATTTATTTATTTTTATTTATTTATTTGTTTGTTTGTTTGTTTGTTTGTTTATTTATTTATTTATTTATTTATTTATTTATTTATTTATTTATTTATTTATTTATTTATTTATGTGTGTCCAGGTGCTCACTAAGGCCAAAAGATGTCATATCACCTAGAGCTGGAGTTATAGGCAGTTACAAGCTTCCAGACACCAGGATGCTGGGAGCTCAACTCTGGTCCTCTCAAAGAGCCAACTGCTCTTAACAAACGTGCTCTCGACCACCAAGCTCTCTAGATCCTCTTCATTTCAAATTTCCACAACTACATTTTTATTGGCGGTGTGTGTGTGGGGGGGGGGGGGGGCGGTGCTTCAAGACAGTTTAAGTAGCCCTGGCTGTCCTGGAACTCCCTCTGTAGACCAGGCTAATTTTGAACTCACAGAGATCCACCTGCCTCTGTCTCACAAGTGCTGGGATTAAGGGTATGCAACACCAGGCCCAGCTCATAATTACATAATTTTTAAAGTGTTTAAATTTACCTCAATATTTACTATTTCATCCATTCCTCAGTTTTAATCTGGGATCTCTTTGTCCCTTTGTAGATAACTCTATTTTCCAGTCAAAATAATTTGTTTGGGGGCTGGAGAGATGGCTCAGAGGTTAAGAGCACCGACTGCTCTTCCAGAGGACCTGAGTTCAATTCCCAGCAACCACATGGTGGCTCACAACCATCTGTAATGGAGATCTGGTGCCCTCTTCTGGCCTGCAGGCAGAACACTGTATACATAATAAATAAATAAATCTTTAAAAAAAAAAAAATTTGTTTGGTTTTGAAGCAGGGTCCAGAGCTGCCTCAAACAGGCATGAGACATCATGCTTGGCTCCTGTCAACTGTCTCATGCACTTGTGCATAAGATATTTTTTGCTAAATACAGTTTTATTTTGGGCCTGTCTGTCTGTCTCTGTGTCTCTGTCTCTTTCTCTCGTTCTATTGGTTTTTCAAAACCTAGAATTCACTCTGTAAACCAGGCTGACCTTGAACTCAAGAGATCTGCCTGCCTCTGTGTCATAATTGCTGGGATTAAAGGTCACCATGCCTGGCTCAGAGCTAATATCTCTTAGCCAACTGAAGACATTAATATACTGGTTTCTAGCTTGCTTTATGCAAATTTCAAAGAATCCATCTTTGTGTCTTGATTGTTCCTGTGAAAGCAGTGTATTTTCTCCATACAGACCTATACTGTCCTTCATAATGTCTTATCTGTTTTCTGTATCCTAGAGATACTACCTTTTCTTTGGAAATATTTTCCCTTTCCTAATTATTGACTCTTTTTGGTCTTTGGCCACATATCCACATTTTATCTGGCCTGAGTGTTCCCTATCACCACGATAATTTTAACTGCCAACCTGACATAATCTAGAACTGAGCTGGGAAAACTTGCCCACTATGTGTGGCACTGATCCTAGACTGTGAAAGAGTAGAGGATGCTGGCTGAGCACAGGCACACATAGGTCACACTATTTCCTCTGCTCTTGACGGATGTGCTGTGGGCAGTCCTCTCAAGCTTCTATTACTATGACTTCCCCATGGTGACAGACACTGTAACCTGGAACTGTGAGCTAAAATATCCTTTCTCCCCACATATTTATCTCAGCAAGCAGAAATGAAACTAAGACACCTTTTAAGAGACTTTAAACCACTTGTCCTTTTTTTTAGAGATAACTGTCTGAATAGCTAGGTCTTATTCCATCAATGTAAATTTAAGTACCTTGATGTATGTCTTACATTCAAGGTCTGTTCAATTCCTGCCAATCCAACTTCCTATTTGTGCCACGAGTTATTTCTCAAGTACTTTCAACTGCTATATACCCAGAACACTGTAGTCAGTAGTTGAGATGGGTTGGTTATTATAAACAAATTTTTCTTTGGTTTTTACCTTTTCCAGTAGGTAAGATCTAAAAAGGAAAACACCGGAGTTCTATTAGAGCTGGAAGCCATCTCTGTATCTGAGCCATCATCTGACTGGTTACTGTAGCAGGGAGACTGGGCTGGAGAGGCACTTGAGGTGGTGCTGTGAGCATCAGAATCTGCATTAAACACAAAAGACATTTCCAGTTTCATCGTGTGCAAAGTCCAGGTGCTGCTCCACTTATCTATATGGAAAAATAACTCACAAAATAAAGGTTAATTTACTAACCTAGAGCTACACCAGCATATTTTTGTGCCATGCATTTAAAAGCCAGAAAAATAAAGCATACGCCCTTTATCCCAGCAACTCAGGAGGCAGAGGCACACCATCTCTGTGGGTTCACTCTCTCTAAGTTCGAGGATAGCCTGATCAGCACTGTGATTTCTAAGATAGCCGGAGATAGGTAGAGACCCAATCTCAAAACACCAAAATGAATGAATGAATGAATGAATGAATGAATGAATGAAAAGCCAGGAAAACCTTTTGGTTGATGGTCACTATGTTTTTTAGTACTGTTTAGACCAAAACCACCACTTAAACTTCCCGTCTATCCAGGACATGGATAGAACAGTTCTCTAACTCAGAGAAACAATTATTAATATTTATTAAACACCAAAGCTTTAGTTTAAATTTTGTGTGTACATATACACATATGCAGACAACCCTGGAGACCAGAGGTTATCTGATGCCCTGGAGCTAGAGTCTGAGGCAGTCATGAGCTAGTTGATAAGGGCGATTGATGGGCCAAGCTTCTCTGCAAGAGCAGTGACACCCTGGGCCATCTCTCCAGCCTCACTGAAACATTTTCTGGAGTGCTTACAAGGGCAGGAGATATAGTTCAGTAGTGAAGTGCTTTCCTGGCACAAAGCCTTAGGTTTGAGCTCTAGCATTCAAGGAAAACAAAAGCTTATAAATGTAAGGATCTCACAAGTTCCTCTTTAAAAATCCTTACATAAATAATGTAAAATTAAACATCTAAAATAAAATATCATGTGTTATTAGTATGCCATTTCATTTTAATAAATGGTATTCAACTTCCTAAAGACAAAATCTTCACGAGTATCACACCTGAAAGGAGTAATCTAGCAGGATACTCAAACCTCCCAAACACCAGCAGACAGCTTCTGTGTGAGGGAGGCTCTCTATCCTAAACATTTCAAATTTCAGTGTGTACCACTTTTACATTTAAAAGCTGCCCTTAGATTAATCTAAGACTTTGGGATACCAAGATATATAACAACTGTATACAATGAAGAACTGTAATTGTTAAGTCTTAATTAGTAAGGATTAGTTAGGCATGAACAAGAGAGCACGAGGCAGGTGGGCAACAAACGAAGTCTCAAGCTTCTTTGAATTAAAACCTCCAAAACATTTAACAACTTTCATTTATCTTTATTGTAGTAGTGACTCATGTACAAAATTAATAAAGAGACGACAACAAACTAGCCATTCTATCTACTGTGAATAACTACATTCTTATTATGAAATACTCGTGTGTTTAATCTAGCAGTTTTGCCTCAGGTCCCCAGGATTAAACAGGTATTATACAGGAACAAGAGGCTGTTTCCATTTTCAAAGTCTAAAGTCTAAACTGAACATATGGATAACCACAACCTCCACCAATAGTCTATGAACCCAGTATGAACTTGACATTCCAACACAACACATGTGTCTTACACTGAAAGGTCAGAAGCTACTTTCCTCCATGTGAGTGATGATTTCTAAAGTTCCTTTCCAGAAATCTAGGCTTTGGTTGAATGCTGTGTCCACTAATTTGCTGACTTTTCTGCACATCTCCAGGACTTAATTTCTTTATGTATAAAACCCAAGTAAACAAGCTGGCAGTGCAGTCTGGAATATTAAAATGTCAATAAAGACACACTGTCCTGGTATGCTTTGAAAAAGTAGCTACCTATTATAAGTGTGTGTGTGTGTGTGTGTGTGTGTGAGAGAGAGAGAGAGAAAGAGAGAGAGAGAGAGAGAGAGAGAGAGAGAGAGAGAGAAGAGAAGAGAAGAGAAGAGAAGAGAAGAGAAGAGAAGAGAAGAGAAGAGAAGAGAAGAGAAGAGAAGAGAAGAGAAGGAGAATGTTGGTTGTCTGTGTACATGTTTACCCATGGTATGAGAAAGCCAGACTGACATCTTTACTGAGGCAGGGTCTCTCACTGAATTCAGTGCTCACTTGTCCCAGGGATCCCTTATCTCTGAATCTTGAGTGTTGTGATCACAGGCAGGCATGTCTGCCCAGCTTTTTGTTGTTGCTGCATTTATTAGTGTATGTATATAAGCATATACACGTCACAGTGCATGTGCAGAAGTCAGAGGAAAACTTTTTGGAAGTCGGTTCTCCTAACACATTGGTCCTGGAGATTAGAGACTCCAGTTGTCAGGCCTGGGCAGCAACTGCCTTTCCAGATGAGCTCCCTTGCAGGCTCCACCCAGCCTTTATGTGGGTGCTGGGGTCTGACTCAAGTCCTCATGTTTTTGCAGCAAGCTCTTTATACACTCCAGGATCTCCCAAGCCCCTTTAGTTACTTTAAGATATCAAAATAAGAACACACAAAAAGAAAAAAAAGAAAAGAAAAGAAAAGGAAAAGAACACATAGTCACTGATTCAATAGTACCTTCCAAAGGCTAAGACTCCAAAACAGGAAGGGGTCCACCTCAGTCCTTAGCAGACAGTAAGCAGGAAATGGATTCACGTACTGTAAAACCAGCCCCGGTCAAAAATAAAACACTAAAATTCAGTACTCAAAAACAAACTCACTGTGGCGTTTAAATTCCTTCTGCAGTTTACTGATCTGGTTGCTTTTCATCCTGTTTCCAGATAGAGTTTTCACTTTCTTTGGTTTCAGTGTTGTCTTTAGACTGGGTCCTGCCCTTGCATCTACCACCTGGAAGAAAATACTGAATATTTAATGCCATTTGGGCCTATGCTTACTTGAGAACCAGTTTGATACTCAAGAGTGACAAGGGTCCTCTGTACCTTTAACCATTACATGATAGAAAAGAATAAGCGCAACTTAGACCATTCTGCATGCTAATCCCTAAATTTATCAACCACAGGAGCATTTCATCTCACTTGTCTAGCATGGCATGGTTCTACTTCTTAGGCCTTCAACATAAAAGGTTGTCCTTAGCCGGGCGGTGGTGGCAGCGCATGCCTTTAATCCCAGCACTCGGGAGGCAGAGGCAGGCGGATCTTTGTGAGTTCAAGGCCAGCCTGGTCTACAGAGCGAGATCCAGGAAAGGTGCAAAGCTACACAGAGAAAACTTGTCACGAAACACCAAAAAATAAATAAATAAATAAATAAATAAATAAATAAATAAATAAATAAATAAATAAATAAAAATAAAAGATTGTCATCACCCTCAAATACCACAACCGTGATTTCCTCAGATAAGCTATTAAAGGAAAGCTTATTTACATGTTAAGGTAACAGGTCCACGGGAAACCACTGCAGTAATTTAACACTGTCACAGGGCAGCACTGTGCTGTGTAAAGAAAAGCACCTAATTAAGCAAAATATCTTATGTAATGTAAATTTCATAAATCTTGGCCACAGATGGGGGCTCATACCTGTACCTGAGAGACAGGGTAATAAAATCAGAATCAAGTTGTCCTCTGCCATACTGGGAGCTTGAGGCTAGCCGAGGCTACATGAGACTTTGTCTTAAAGCAAAAAAAAAAAAAAAAAAAAATCTGAAAAGCTACCTAACATTATTCAAGAATTTAACAAAACTCTAGACTAGGGGATACTAAGCAGTACAAGTTTAATCTAGCATGTTCCACACTCTAGTTCAATCCCTAGCACCAAAAATGAAAAAGCATTGAGGGCTGGAGAAATGGTATAGCAATTAAAAGCACATGCTGCTCTTGCAGAAAGTGAATTCGGGTCACAACATCCACCTGGTGGCTCACAGCCATCTGTACTCCAGTACCAGGGGATCCAACGTCCTCTTTTGGCCTCTGCAGGCACCAGGGGTACGTGGCACACATACATAAAAGTAAACAAAACACACATATAGATTGAAAATAAATATATCTTCAAAAATAACATTAAAAAAGTGTTGCTCAGATCATCTAGATCAAATGAGGGAGCGCTTTTCCAGCAGACTGAGTGCCATGCCCAGGCACAGCTCCAAAGGATATAACAGCCCCCACCTCTGGTACACTTACACAGACATAATTTTTAAAAATACAAACATATCTAAATATATTTTATATAATTTAGTGACGTGGGCAAAAAAAGTAAAAAAGGATAACAGAATCCACATCAACACTGCTGACCTTCACAAATTATCCAGAACAGCATCCATCTAGCCTTTTATTTTATAGGCACTACCTCATTCAGGTCCCACAGTAGCTCTATGGACAGCTGACAGCTTTATAGCCTGTCAGACAAGTAGTAAGTAGGCAGTAAACACACGACTAAACCTATGCGCTCATGAATTCGAAGCAGCATGTCAGTCTAAGAGTGAAAAGGATCCACGTCTAACTCTGGGACTTACTAGAAATGAAGTCTTAGAATCTGACAATCTGCAACAAAATCTCCAATGAGGGTATTGTAGACAGACCAGGAAATGCAACACCAGGCTAGTTTTTCTTTATCTTTTAGCCTTTTCTATCCTAGTGATATAGAATTTCCTAAATTGGGAATGCTGGTGTAAGTTTATTTTAAAAGAGACAGAAAAAGATGAACTAACATGATTCCAGTTTTTTTTTGATCCCGCTGGCAACTTCTTCCATCTTTTCACAAGCAACACACAGGCATTGCAGATGTCTCCAGAGCGAGTCTCATGCAACCTGCGAGAAAAACAGAATGTTATCACACTTGGAGAAAAATACATCCATTTATGGCTCATAGATGCCATTTCTGACTATCCTAACATGATCTAGTCCACTGTTTCTCTAGTGCATTTCAGATATGAAATTAATATGCCAGTAAGTGGTCGTACACCCATGTGTATACATACAGGCAACACTAAATGGAGTCAGTGGTATTTTAAAAGAAATTCTTTGGGTTTTTTTTTTTTTAATCCTATGGTTTTTTTTTTTTTTAATTGGTTTTAGACAGTGTCTCAATATTCACTCCTGGCTGTCCTAGAACTCAATTTGTGAATTAGTCAGGCCTCACTCAGACTCAGAGAGAGCTGCCTGTCTCTGCCTCTAGAGTGCTGGGATTAAAGGTGTACACCATCATGCCAGGCCCCTCAGTGGGTTCTTTTTTAAAAAAAGAAGAGAGAAAAGAGCCTGGGTAGTTGAAATTGGAAGAAAAAAAATGATGGGGGAGTGGTGGGAAAGGAATGAGATGGGGTAGATTTGATACGCACGCACGCATACATGCACGCGCCAGCTAAATTTTCAATTAAAAAATTATTAGCTTCTAGAGACCCAATCATATCAATGTATTCCATTCAAAAATCTTTCTTAAGTCAGGTGTAGTGGTGCACACCCTTAATCCCAGCACATGGGAGGCAGGGGCAGTTGGATCTCTTTAAATTCAAAGCCAGCCTGGTATAGACATAGTGAGTTCCAGGGCAACTAAAGCTACACAATGAGAGCCTGCCTTTAAAAACAAAACAAAAGAAAAAATCAGATTTATTTAATTTTTATGTGTGTAAGTGTGTACCATGTGTGTGCCTGGCACCATAGAGATCAGAAGGAGTAAGATCTCCTCAAACTGGAATTCCGAACAGTTGAGTTACCATGTGTGTGCTGGGAACTGAACCAGAGTCCCTGGAAGAGCAACAAGTGTTCTTAAGGACCCCAATGTACTACATTTTAACAGTTTAAAACTAAAGAATACAAAGTCTGAGCTGCGGTGATGCATACCTACAATCTCAGTATTCAGGATGTAGAGGGAAGAGGGCTACTATGAGTAGCATGGGCTAGAATGACACACACACTTTAAAAACACAGTAGGCCAGAAAGGGTAATACACACACCTTTAATCCCAGCAGCCAAGAAGCAAGCTAGGTCTACCTACATGGCAAATTCCAGGGGTACATTGGGATATCCTTCCTCAAAAAAACAACTAAAAACAGTAGGACAGAGTCTATGTCTAGAATTAGCAATGAGCAAACAATAAATGCTTTAAGAAAAAGTAGCATGTGGTCTGGGGTGATGGCTCAGTGTGTGAAACACTTCTTGAACAAACACCAGCAGGATCTGAATTCAAATATCCAGAACTTACATAAACCAGGTGTGGAAGTGTGCAACGTAAAACTGAGCATGGTCATGTGCATCTGTAATCCCAGCTCTCGTCTCTAAGAGTTGAAAGGTGGAAACAGGAGAATCTCTAGAAGTTCACAGGCCAGCTAGCCTGGCCTAAGAAGCAGGGAATAAACAGAATGACTAGGCAAGATCACTCAAGGGTGCCGACCCCAGCGTGAATGACAGAGCACACACAAGCACTCAAATATTCACATGCGTCAGGGAGTCAGTGGTGGTGCATGCCTTTGATCTCAGCACTCTGGAGGTAGAGGCAAGGGAATCTCTGAGTTGAGGCCAGCCTGGTCTACAGAGCAAGTTCCAGGACAGTCAGGGCTACTGACCCTGTCTTGAAAACAAAGTGCACATGCAATCAATCAAAATCAGTGTCATGCAAATACAGGAGCACTCTTTCTCTCAAGCATACTATCTTCTACCGCAGGAAATGGTTCAACATTAAATATTTTATTTCGTCCAGGTACTGTTGGAAAGTCAACGTACCCTGGTAAGCTTCAGGGCAGAATATCAAGTGTATTGCTATCATCCTCCTCAGCAAGTTATTTTAAGAACATGAATCCTCACTAATCCAGATATTAGAAAACTAGTGATTTTAAATATTAGCAGATTGTTCCCATTGCTTTGCATGGAAATATTTCCACACACTTTGACTATTTTTCCATCTAAGAATGGAATATAACTAATCTTACCCAAAACAGCTCTGGAAGTCCTTTTCATAACGTTTACTGTCCGTGAACCGAGAGCTGGAGGACTTGGCTCTGCAGATACAGCAGCCCTCTATACTTCGGTACATCTTTGGCTTGTGAAAACCAAACATCTTTTCTTCTGGGCAATAGCTGTAAAGACAAGGGGATTGACGCAGTTTTGTTAAGGACAATGACAAAAAACCATGCAAGAAGGACTTTGCTCTACTCAACCTTACCCCCAGCACAGGTAATTTTATAACCAAGTCTAACAAACTAGAGAGGAGCTCCCCCAGATCTACTGCTCCATAGTACGAGGGCCAGTATACAGAACATGCAGAAATGCCTGGAGCTAGGAGGCATAAATCCACTACCTCCTTTATTTCTCCCTGCCAATATTCTAGAAACGGGACAGCATTTTTCTTAAATCACACACCCTCCCAACTTACTATACCACAATCCTCAAGGGACGTAATACCTGTGGCACCTATCAGCCTATCAAAGCCCATTCTGGGCTCCGGGGTCCCTCAGTATCACAAGTACCTGTTATAGGTTTCACACTAGCCCTTCCCACCTCTTCCACCCTAAACTCCCTCCAGCTCAAGCTCATCCAACTACTCTCCTTCTTGTAACCGAGCTATTCTCACTGCTCTCTGCTCTTGCTAGTCTCGTTATGCTCTCTCTACTGTCTCTGGTTAGTCTCCTTTCTCTTACAGAACCCTGGCCATGTCCAGTTTGCTAACCATATTCACTCTGCTTTCTCCCTCTGCTCTGGACTATTCCAGATGCCTCTGGTTGTTCTCTCTCTCATATCTACAATAAAAACTTTAGTCATATCATGTAGTGGTCAGTCATGTTGGCAATTTCTTTACTGTGCCTCCTTGCATACACACATGCCATTACAAATGTGCCTAAAACTTTAGTTATAACAATCTTGGTATTTTGTGCCTTTGCATTAATGTAATTCCCCGCTAGGAAAGTTGTGTGCGTTCACCATGACCCTCCGTTCCCAAGACACAGGAGCTCCACTCAACTGTCCTCTATGGAAGGTGTTGGTGTTGGTGTGCTCTTTGATAAATGGGAAGTTCTATACAGTCACCTTTAGCTGAAAGGAAGATAGGAAAATCGCAGAAATCCAACCTTAGGAGTTTAGAAATGATGTCCATGCACTACTGAGGGAAATTAAAACTCCTCTGGTCAAAATCCCAATACTAAGGAAGGCTAAAAACTATCTTTAGGCTGGAGGCCAGTCAGACTCCACATCTAAGGTCAACTTCACCAGATCTGAATTAGGGGACACATGCCTGTAATCCCAGCACTTGAGGCAGGGCTGCCATGAGTTCAAGGTCAGTCTGGTCTGCCAAGTGGAGGGACAATAAATATGGAAACTTAAAACCAATGGCCACAAGATGTGTACACCCAACTACCAATTACCACAAAATCATCAGGCAAAGAAAAAGGTATAATTCCCTTTGCACATATTTGGAATTTATAGAGCAGTGAAGCTTCCTATCTGTCACTTAGATCATCTCTTGCCTGAGCCCAGTGACGTTCAGACCACAGCAGGTACAAAGAGGTTCACACGTAACCAAATATCCAGAGGCATGTGTATCTTTGTTTTTTTGTTTTGCTTTTTTTTTTTTTTTTTGTCGGAGCTGAGGACCGAACCCAGGGCCTTGCACTTGTTAGGCAAGCGCTCTACCACTGAGCTAAATCCCCAACCCCTTTTGTTTTGTTTTGAGACAAGAGTTTCTCTGTGTAGCCCTGGCTGTCCTGGAACTCAAGAGATCTGCCTGCCTCTGTCTGTGTCACCACATCCAGCTAAATAGGCAACTGTTAATCCCATGTTTCTTGGTGTTTTCTTTGGTGCAGGGGGCGGGCAAAGATGGATGAATAAGGCCACTAACACTTTAATTATTAAGTCTAAACTAACAGCTACCTGTAAAAATTAAGACAGAAAAACAAAGTAGCTGGATTGTTAGAAGAAAAGTAAGAAAAGTACATAATACAAAAAAACTGAAGAATAGGATGAGACGGCCTGGAGAGATGGCTCAGAGGTTAGGAGCACCAGCTGCTCTTCCAGAGGACCTGAGTTCAATTCCCAGCAACCACACGGTGGCTCACAACCTTCTGTAATGAGATCTGGTGCCCTCTTCTGGTGTGCAGGCATACATGCAGGCAGTATACTGTATACATAATAAATAAATAAATCTTTAAGAAAAAAAAGTAAGTTTTTTTAAAAAAGTTAAGATGAGGTTTTTGTTTTTGTTTTTTTAACCTGAACTCAAGAAAATTTAAAGAAAATGTCCTCCCAAACAAATGGTCATGCCACTTCAGCCAAAACAGCAAGTATCAAATGACAGACCCAAGAAACTAGACATGTATATTCCTGTTTCTTCTCTAAACATGCTCGCCATCAAGGTCAAAAGTCCACAGTTCCTCTTACAATCATCAATAGCGCTCGGAAACTTCAGCCTCTTCATGAGCAAGGACAAAGGAAGTACACAACAAAGCTCCATGCCTGCAGTCTACAAACTCTACCCTCACAGCCCCTCCCTTCCCTCAGAAAAACACCATGCCAAAACTACAGGGCACCCAGACGTCTCTAAGCTGTGAGGCTAGCTGCCTTCAAGACTGGGTTTGCCAAGAAGCCAGTCTGGTCCATTCATCACACTGACAAGCTACAGCCACCGCTCAACAGTGAAGCCAATCCGTAATGTTCTTCTTGGTGAGGACACACACAAAAGTAACCACCAGCCTGTCAAGAATTTCAACATGACTTTTAACAGCCCACCACATTCCTGTGGACTAGCTTCTGCTTGAACAAGGGTGGGGTGGGAGCAGAAACCCAGGGTCCATCCTCTTCCGGACAGTGCTGAGAAATTAGGCAAGATCCTAACCCAAGTCGTCTCTTATCAGATGACCACTCAACCCTATGAAAGCCCTTTCTGAGCTCTTCCACACCCTTAAGAGGCACCTGGGAATCTGCAGCAAACACAGAGGGTGTTCATTCCAAGCTTTGTTCACAGCAGCCCGTTAAAGTGGTGGTTTGTGTTTAACCACTGAGGTTTGGGGAGCCCTGAGAATTAACTGAAAGTATTTTCATGAAATCTATGGAGTCACTTATATTCAAAACCAAATACATCTACCCAATCCCTGTAGTGAAGCCAGACACAGCACAGCGCCCCTAAATCAGGTTATATCTGAGGAGGTGAGTGGGCCTGGCAGTTTGATTGTGATTTTGAGATTCCTGGTATTTCAAGCAACCTGGTGGCTGTTCTTTACTTCTTCCAAGGCCCAATTGTGAAACAGTAAGTAGTTCTGGAACTGCCTCACTTGCTCAAATAGCTTGGTCAGCATGCATCATATCTATACTGGGAGCGTTCTCACCACACCATTCTGCACCAGAGGCAATCACCTGCTTCCTGACTGAGGGTCAGTCCGCTGCAGCTCACAGCAGAACAGGCACCACACAATCTCATCTTAGAAAGGACTTAAAATTGTAACTTATTTTCTAACATTACAGACAGTGGTGGTGATGACAAACTGAATATCTAAAACCGCAGAACTATATGAATAGTAAATTTTATGACATACAAATTGCATCTGGAAGTCATAAATGCAAATAGGCCAGAAACCACAAGCTATGATTTCTCAATTTATTCCACAATAAATAGTTAATATGTAATAATGTATCCATTCAACATACATACTCCTTCCTGTAACTTCCTTGTATAAATATCCTCTTAACATATTTTGATGCAAAGTAAATAGCTGGCAAAGTTATAGGATGAGTGGCTATAAATATTATGCTCAATAAATAAAAATCAAAACAAAAAAAGGTGAGTTAATCTCCCATATGAAAGATAAAGGCTGAATTGGAGTGACAGCTCAGAATCTCTTGTTCTCAGCACTCACGAGGGTGGGCTCTAACTCCTATAATTTCTGCTCTAGGGGATCCAAAACTCTTTTGGCCCCCACTACACATTCATGTGCATAGCACCTCCCCCCCACATATATAATTTTATGGCTAAGTGCATGGACCGTGCCTGTAACCCAGCATTTAAAATGTGGAGGCAGAATGACTGCTGTAGCTCAAGATCAGCATCCTATACATAGGAGTTCTAGGATAGCCTGGGCTACATGAGATCCTATGCAAAATAAGGGCTGGAGAGATGGCTCAGCAGTTAAGTATACTTGTTGCTCTTCTAGAAGACCCAGGTTCAATTCCTAGCACTTACATGGTGGCTCACAATCATCTTTAACTCTAGTTCTAGGAGATCAAACACCCTCTCTTGGCCTCTTTAGGCACCAGGTACATATCTGGTGCACAGACACACACAAAGGCAAAACACACATACACATAAAACAAGAAAAAGCATCTTTTATGTTTACCTTCATTGGTGTCTCCAACAGTAAAACAGAGTACTGGGGTCTGGGGAAAGGGCCACAAGCATCATGTCCAGTTACAAAGGGGGCAAGAAGCAGCCCCCGAAAAGGCCAAGGCTTTCAAGCAGGAACAAAGAGAAGAACTAAAGCCAAGGCCTCAGGTTAGTGCCCTGTCCCGCCTCCAGCCACAGGTAAAATTAAGAAATATAGTTAAAAAGTAAGCTGTTCCTTGCACCTGACATGGTGAACCACTTCCACTATTTATATACAGATTTATATGTTTATATATGGATTCTCTGTCTATAACTACAATAAAGTGTTATGCTGGAGTCTGTTGTACATTGTAAAACACTTTAGTTTCAAGTCATAAAAATAAGTAAATAATAAATTACATAGAAAATAATTATATCCTCTAGAAAATGTAAACATGAAGTTGACTCTTGCTTTATTCTCTTCCTCAAGCTATCCATTCTTAACCAAGAGCCCCACAACCCAGATGTTATTATCATCACACTTTCATTCACCTCAAGAATCCAAAAAAGCTTAGAGAGCTTGAGTAAATTTCTTAAAAGCAAAACAGATGGAGCTGGTCAGTGGTGGTATGTGCCTTTAATCCCAGCACTTGGGAGGCAGAGGCAGGAGGATCTCGAGTTCAAAGACAGCCTGGTCTGCAAAAGTCCCAGAACTACACAGAGAAGAAACCCTGTCTCAAAAACAAACAAAACAGATGGAAAGGTATCTATGTGTTAGACAATTCACCACTG